TGGGGGGGGACTTCTGAGCAGGGACTGCTGGGACAGGACAAGGGGGGATGGTTTGAAACTAAAAGAGGGAGATTGAGACAAGAGACAAGGAAGAAATCTTTGATGCTGAGGGTTGACCCCAGGGTGTCCAGGGGGTCACTGCCCCATCCCTGGCACCATTCCTGCAGATGTCCCTGCTCTCTGCAGGGGGCTGGGCTGGATGACCCTGGAAGGTCCCTTCAACCCAAATATTCTGTGGTTCTGTGACTCGTATGGCTTGCTGAAATACGCTGCATTTAATGTGCTCTCTATTAAACGTGGATCAGAAACTTTAGGAAAGAAAAAGAAGACTCTTCCAAGGTATGGACAGCCGTTGCTATTTAATTAATTGTTTCCATTCTCCTATTAGGATTTCAATCTGTTCAGGAGTCTCTGGAGCTGCTCAAACAGATACAGAGCACAAAGCTGAAACTTGAAAAAAAGAAAATTCAGAAAGAAATGAAAAAGATACAATGAAAGTGAACCCTAGAAGACTGAACACCTGGAGCAAGTCTCACCTGCCCTTGCAGGTGCTCTCTGCACTGAGTGAAGGAAAGAAGTTGCTCCTACACACACATGATTTTTGTCTCCCCCTCTCCCTGCAGGAGGTGGATGCTGGTTATGATCCTGTGCAGCCACAAAACAACCCCTCTGTCATTTTCACATCAATTTCACAAGTAGTGCTTCACTGTGGAAGAACAATTAATCTTCAAGGATTGACTTAAAAGTGGGTGTTATACAAAAGCATTCCCAGTATTTTAAGGGCATTAAGAAAACAAGCAGTGAGTTGTTAGCTGTGGTTAGCTGAGTCCTGCCATCAGCTCCAGCTGGTTTAGACTGGTGTGACTGCTGAAACTGGGTCTAGTGAAATCCTCCAGCTGCACACGAGGTGTGCTCAGTGATAGTGTTGTGAAAGCTGCTGTCAGAACAGCTCCTGGTGCACCATTCGGAGCTATTGTCATGCTGCTGGATCATTAGAAGTAGCTAATACATTTGGTACAGGTGACAAAATGCAAGTTAATTATTAGCACGTGCATTATTAAGAAAGTTTATTTCTCATCTTTTCAGTTTGAATAGAAGTTAATGGAAGTTTGCAGTAAAATAATGATAAAAAAATGTAACGTTTTGTTACATGTGGCATTGTGGGATTTGCTTTGTTTCAAAAGCCAAGAACAATCTGGAAATAAGGAGAACTTTGGGAACAGGGCAAAAGAAACAGCCATACAGTTTCCCAAGAGAAGCCAATAGGAGCTCTTAAGCAGGGAGGCCACAAAAGGAGTCCACAAAACCATTGCCAATGGAAACCTGGATCCCTGCAGCACGTTTCTTTCCAGAAAGCCCAATGCCACCCATTGCCCAGAGAGGAAAAGGGCTCAGAGAATCCTCCTCCAGTAATCCCTTCTCAAGTCTGCTGTGCTTTTGCTCTGCAGAGGAGGTTTCTCAAGCCAGGTTTCAGGTGTCCCCTGGAGGAGCCAGGCCAGCACAGCTCAACAGCTGGAACCCAGTGGATGCCCAGCAGGAGATGCCACCTCAACAACCCATCATGTGGTGCCCGCAGGCAGGAACTGGGGTAGGCTTACATTCCTGCAGTGAGAAAGGAGTCCTCAAAACCACCCGTGTCTTGTAAAAGCCAAAGAACAGCCTGTGTTCTGTTTGTGGGCAGGCACCCCAGGGGTGAACCCCACGGGGAGGGGTCCCAGCCCCACGCCTGCTCCCAGGCCAGGTCTGACACTGGCACGTTTCTGTTTGTCACAAGCAGCTGGAAACCAGAGGCACCGAAATCCCAGCAACGTGCAGAGGTTTCTGAGAGACTCTGAATCCCCATTTTGGTCTCACTGTGCTGGCCATCACGGGGGGCTCTGGGGCTCTGCCTTCACTGTGCAGCCACAGCCAGACGGGTGGGTTGAGGGCAGGCTCCCAGCACTCTCTCTCCACCTCCTCCTGGGCACAGTGCCTGTTTTTCACAGGCCTGGCTGCTGGCAAAGCAGCACTTAGCAGGGGTCAGTGTACCTGCATGCTGTGGCTCTGAGTACAGAGGAACAGGTGAAAACCTAAAATACAAGGTTAATGATGAAAGAGTTTCTAAAAGTGCATGGTGTCCAAAAAAAAACCAAAAAAAAAAAAGAGGAAAAAAAAAAGTAAAAAAAAAAGGAAGGAAAAAATCCAGGACAACCTTCAAAGCCTTATTCTGGAACAGAAAAAATACCAAACCCATCATCCATCCATCCATCCATCCATCCATCCACCCACCCTTCCACGTGGCAGCATGGCACTGGGGATAAAGTCAGGCCGACACGAACGTTATTTGGCACATTGCTGTTGTCTCAGTGTCCCCTCTGCACAGAGCAGCCAGCTCAGCACCCACCACTCCACACTGCGGCCAGAGGGGGATTTGTGCAGCACTGAAACAGTTTTCAGGGGTCTTCTATCCTGAGCAGGAATCAAATCCATCAGTTCCTGTGAGGTACCGAGTGTGTGATGATTCAGATAAATAAATACAAATCTCAGAAGTCAGACATGGTCTCAGGTTTGTATTAAAGGCAATGTAGGAAGCAAATTAAATCCTTCATATCTGAAATAGCAACAAGTTCAGCTGTGAAATCCACCAGATGCCTCCACTCTGCCTCCAGCCCCAGCCCAGGCAGGAACACAACTTACAGCTGGGGAACTTCTCCCCCTCTCCAGCTGCGACATCAGCGGGAGGAGTCACCTCCCAGCTGGTGGAATCCACAGGTGGAATCCACCCCGAGCTCTGCCTCAGGATACAACACAGGGCTGCCTCAACCCACACGACTTACAGATATTTTCAGTACAAGATTGGGGGTTTTTTTTTTGGAGGATATACATTGTTAAAAAATGAAGAGTGCAAGACTTGTACCTCATGCTGTTGGGTTTTACAGAAGCTTAAATTTAAATTCCTATTGCCTGAGCACTTTTCTCTGAGTAGGTGGAGGAGATATGTGGGATCTTATTTCCTGCAGGGCTTGTAACTCAGCTTTGGGATGTGTAATTATCTTGTTCAAGGAGCTCACCACTGATCGTGGTAGATTTAATGTCACCATTTTCTGAACAGAAGAAACCATTGTCTTGTTTTATTTTTTCCAGTCCAGAGAACACTCTGGGCAGGGCAGCGCTGGGTTAACAGTTGGACTCAACAATCTTAAAGGTCTTCTCCAACCTTTGCAACTCAACTGGGACCAAAGCCCCCAGCAGCCTGGGCTGCCCCCCCAGCAGCGTGGGCAGCAGGGCAGGGAGGGGATCCTGCCCCTCTGCCAGCTCTGGGAGACCCCCCTGCAGTGCTGGGGCAGCTCTGGAGTCCTCAGCACAGCAGAGCCAGGGAGCTGCTGGAGCGGG